TACGTTTTCAATCACTTTATTCTTTAATAAAGGGATACACTGAGAATAAAGCCAAAGCAGAGGTTGAAGTCACATTGTTATTATGTGGGCTGAGCTGGTAAAGCACATGCTAAAGTGGCACCAACCAAAACATATTAACAGATGTTAATTAAAGGCTTACCTCCCTGAGGAAATTCTGATTGGAGACCATTGTGTTGTTATCTGTGACAAAAAAAGTCTAAATTATATTAAGAAAAGGAAAATTACAATGCAGATAGAACAATATTTAAAAGCATTCAGACAAGTATAACTTAAAATGTCAATACGGGGAGTCCTCGGGTTACGACACAGTTCCGTTCCTATGACAGTGATGTAACCCTAATTTTGGTGTAAGTCAAAACACACCCTTGTTCTGATCTCTTTACAATGTGTAATTTCACTTCCATCATGATGGCTTTCCTCTTCACAAAAGGAACACTTGTGCTTTTAACAGTCCGAAATGGCGTAGGTAAGTGTACTGGGGGACGCCAACTCCCTCACTCATACACCGCATTACTGTGTATTTTTCCACCACACGCAACCAAACTAGTTCGCCCACGTAGTCTGTAAGTATGATGCTAACAGCATAAGCCAAAACACTCAAGTTAGGACAGATAATGAAAAGCAAATATTTAGCAAAAGTATATAGGCTTGAAACTTGAATACTGAAGCTAGATCATTCTAGAATACCTGTGATTACCAAGAATACGGCACAGAATATCCATTAAACAAACAAAATTAGTACAAACACTCTGGCATCCTTATAAAAATACTTAAATACAAGCACATTTGATTTAATCTATTTTTAAATAATATATTACCGTCTCAGGCGTTGAAAGACTTTCTGACTAGTTTTCGTAGTCACATAGACAATCCAGGAAGATCCAGATGAATCCAGATGAATTGATCGAGAAGCTTCGACTTGTTCTTCCTTACAGGAAATACGTAACGTCACATGCTCTTATGAATATTCAAATACAGGAAGCACTTTCCTCAGAGGGTATATATCTTCTGTTTCTTTCAAAAACAATTTGGCTTAAAAGTAGCAGTAAAGAAAATGTGGTATTATAGAGAAAGAGAGCAGAAGAGAGAAACTAAGACAGAGAAATGTCATTTAGTAAACAGAATAAGAAAAATCAGGAAATGGCTGCACTCACCTGCACCTAAGAATACAGCTGGGTTTTGTGGTACAACAGTCGATGTGGAGCCTATGCGACTGGCGTGAAGATGCAGACCGTTATGCCGATGCTGGATCATGATTCTCCAGTGGTGGGTATGTAGATCATCCATGACAAAGAAAAGTCTCCAACGAGTGGGGAGCCGCTGTCTATGCTGTAGGTGTCAGAAAGTGCGTTTGCTGCTTTCCGGAGTGCCTGTCTGGACCACATCAAAAGGGTGTGTATGTCGGTGATGGTGCTGGCTATGGGGGGGCCTGATCGAGCGAGAGCATTCAAGGCTGTGTGTGTTGCTCTGGTACTGTTGCAAGGTCAGCAATGTGCCTGGAGGTCCAGAGCCTTAAAACTTTTTGGATAAAGAATTCCGCTACTGCATCAGGTTGACGGTGTTAGTTGATAACCTGTGGATTTTCAGTGGACTTATGAATATTATATTGCATAGATCTGATGGAGACCTGGAATGTACAATGAGAGGGGCAGGGTGTATGAATGAGTGTCCTGAGGATACTGAAGAATCTTAAAATGACTGATTTTTCATGGCAGAAAAACAAAAGCCAGTTAAAAGCCATGTGGTTTTTTTTTCCCTTGGCTTAC